ATTTGCAGGGTATTCAACACTGAATCGGAATGACCGGCTTGTAATGGCTTTTTGTAAAAAGATCTGTGTTAATGATGCACAAAATATCGAAAATCCGCTATTTTATAACTAGAGCTGCACAAGCAATAAGAATAATTGCCGCAATAAAAATAGTTCCGGACCCATTTTCTGCAAGTCAACGAAAAATGGTGACAGCTGTGTAAAATTACAATCTAGTATGTAGGCTCACAATGAAAATTGTTGCAATTTGGAAAATTGCGAACTTTAATGTGGCTCTAATGAAAATTATGAATAAGAAATAAGTTGCATTTGCATTCATTATTTTTATTCAATCAATAGTTTCACTTTGTTTTGCAAGAATTGCATGTTTTATGTCAACCTTCAAGGTTTTACAAATGAAAACCTAGTTCATTTGTTATGTTCTCTTATTTTGTTCAAATAAATGATATCAAGTTTTATTACTTTTTTATAACCAACCATGTTCCCTAATATAAGAATATAATGGATACATATTTAGGACCCATTTCTAGTTCAAAACTTTTTAGCAAAACAACTTTTCAACTGTTTAAATTGGAGTTGCCAATTTATCATTCACTCTCCCTGGTAATTAATAAATAATATACTTAAAGATACTGTAGTCTCAGCTAATATGCATTTCCTTATATTTCCTCCTACTAAGGATAGTTGCCAAATATGTAATGGGGCTTTTCTAAGTATTATTGTGGTATTTTGGTTGTAGTTTGGTATTTTTGACCATTAACAATGTCACTATGATAATTGAGCCTGCAGAAATTTTTGGCCTTCTATTCATTTTCTATTCATTTTGCAGGGTTTCCCATTAGAATACCAAAATTAATTGGGTAGCACAGGTAAAATTGATACTGGGATCGATTCTTTTCAGAGATAAATTATGGTCACATGATATTAGGACTGGACTAGACTAGACTTGATTGGATCAAATTTCTCTAGGATATCAGGGAATCAGGGACAGACTGGCTCTATCATGAAGAAGCAAGCCCCAAACTTGTTGATAGTAGATTTATTTTCAAATTCAAGGCACAGTATCAGATGCCTGGAACATTTTTGAATCAAACAATTACTCTTGCATGATATTGATCAACATTACTGCCCACCACAATTCAACTGATGAAGAAACAAAAAATCTGCCACCATCAGAATTTGAATACATGGAAGACAAATACAAAATGCACACTGAGTACTCTCTCAAAATCTGTACCTTATTTGCAGTAATATGAATGATTTATTTATCTAAAACAAAAATACATAATTGTGACTCACTAGGTATAGTGTCAACTTTCAAGTGATTTGTGTGAGCTCTAGAACTGTCAAGAAGAAAACACAGTCTTTTCAAATTCTGATGGATATCTATTAGCCTAGTGGAAGGTCAGGTTGATCATCAAAAAAGAAAGAGTACCATCTACAATCAAAAATGTTTGGGGCTTTTGGATGTTGTGTGTGTAATATGCCTTGATTTAAATGTTATATATGCCTTGATTTAAATGTTTCACTCATTTCAGTTCAGTAACCAATGAAGGCTACAAAAGTAAGCAATCTTCCTTAGGATTTAAAATTAGCTACACTTGCACACACATTATCATCACAAGATGACCATAGTCTTTACAATAATAAACCTCTTGTTTGTTTGCAAAAATAATTATGTAGTTTCATGGAATCAACAGTTATACAGTGGGAGTTTTTAAACTGGAGTTAATTCATTATCTCTCAAATCAAGAATAGGGGAAGAAAAAATACAGGGTGTCCCACTTGGAAATAACTACCAAGCTGATTTTCAATTTTCTTTGTTTGGGAAAGAATATATTTCATTTTTGAAACTGACTGTGTAATCAGCTAGCTGTGAACTATAGAATGTCAAAATCTTCCCATATTCAGTGTGATGTGTTCAATAAAATTTCTGATCAACATGAGAGCCTCAAGAACTCAAATATACAGATTAAATAATGTTGTTTCAAATAAAGCCCTGTCATATTTCTTTCAAATATTATGAATATGACAAAAACAGTTCAAAACTATTTTGTAAGACACTAGAGCTGAGTTGGTATTTCTATGATATAGAAGTTATTTACAAAAAGTATATACTGTTATTGAAATGAGCAAATAGTCTTAAAGTCTAACATCTCCACACCTAGAAAAATGAATACCCCTCAGAATACCCATAAGTAATATTTAAAATGCCATCTCAACTATAGCACACTAGTAAAATGATAAATGGCCTGAAGAGATTCTCATTAGAAACAAATGTATGCCACACTAGGGCAATTAATAATCAAAATTAACAATTAGATAGTACTTACCTGATGGAAAAATTCAATTTTATAATTGGAAAATTAATAAACAAGGGAATAAGTACCTGTTTAGTGAGTGTAGAATACATAATTGGAGGTTCGTCTTCTGTACCAGGAGCACATGGTTCCATTTTATCAGAATACTATAATTCCAATGAATTTGATAATGTACCTATAACCCCAGGGTCCTGTAAAAAATATTGCAAATTGAAATAGTGTTGAAGCTATTCTCATTTGAAACTTATACCTACTGAAAACTTACCGTGCAAAATAAAATTTTACCAAAGGTGCTCTGAGGGAAAATTATTTCAAATTTGCCGCCACAATGCACAACACAAAATGGCCACCTACCAAAAGATAGTCCTCCTTTCAATTCTCCCTTTTAGGACTATGTAGTATGTATGAGATAAATAAACAATAAACATCGTTCAATTTACACTGAGAAAATGAATATAACTTCGTATTATGGAGAATAATAATATTAAATATTCTTTTGACAAAGGCTTCCCCTGTCAACAATGACGATCATTTTGGCAATTCCTGCAAAAACGGATTATAATATAAAATACAAACCTTTTATACGATTCTTGAAATTCTTAGAAGTGTGCAATATTCATTAAACAATAAGTTCACACGACTATACTAGTTGAAATCAAACCCATGTCACGCCTTCAGCATTAAATTCACCAGAAATATATTGAAAAAATGGCTGATTTTGATATTTGATTTGGTCGTGAGTCCGATGTAAAAACTGTACAGTGACACTTGACACTCTTGACAGTGTTCACAGTGAAGTGAAGCAGGTATATGGGATTACCATCTCAGTTCCTGTGTACCTTATCTTTTATTCGTCTGAGCTGTGTACAGTACAGTGCCTACACTACACTAACTCTTTACTCTCACTACTGAGATGTAGTTGTCAAACTTGTCAATGACATGAAGTGTTACAACTCTGATCAGTACACAGTACACAAGCTAATGGCTCTAATGGGATTGGTGAGGATTGAGTTTGTTTTCCTCCAGTTTTGACGTGGCTTTGACATGGAACGATGGAAACCGAGCCACCTGGTGGCATTATAGGTGCATTTTGTTGCCTATAGCCCTATTATGGAATAGTTATTCTAATCGTTTTCTTGGCCTATTCTATTGTTTAATATGAAACTTACTCGCTCTGGCTGCTCGAAAAATTTCCGTGAATAGAGTTGGACTAGACTTTCAAGGATGTGTTTTTCTTTTTTTGGGACCCGAAGAGTCCCATTGATGATGCACGAATTCGATATTAGCTGGATCGAAATGGAATAGAAACATCTAGAGACGCAAAAGATACAGGGCGCAAAAACAACAACACGGATTATGCGTGAACATCTTGATCGTGATTGAACGAAGGCCTAAAGTCTCCGAATCATTCCCAAACCTCATACCAAAATATGATTCTCCTAACAATTTCATATGAAGAGAGTAGTATTCCTGTTAGAATTCCGTAAAACGAACCGTTTTCGAGAAAAGTGTAATCTTTCATTTTGAGTTCGAAACAATTCACAATGATTCATTTTGACCCCTTTTGGGTATACGTGGTAGCAATTTTGGGACAACCTGCATCTGCAGTCTCTGTAGTCCGCACTCCACAGCAATTAACTCAATATAAACAACAGTTTATTGCTCCACAGTGAATCCGATGTAACTGAACAGTGACACTTGACAGTGAAGTGAAGCTGTACCAGTCCTACACTACACTACACTCATTACATGTCGATATCAATGACGGCTAAATATCTAGACTGTCCGACGGGTATGACCCGTCAGATTGACCACCATTACCACCACCATTAACCATTATTAACGAGACACTGGCAGTCTCGAGAGGAAGGAAAAACCTGGAAAAACATCCATGAAAGCCTAAATCACTACACAAACGATCACAGTGGGCTGACGTCATGCTATTAGTGGACCAAGAAAAAACTCCCGGAGCAAACTCAGCTCACACAATTTCATTGCGAAAAATAATCATCCAAAAACACGAATCTCAACAAATTATCACGTGATGGGAACGGTTCGAAAGATTTAGGCACTTCTGTGAAGCCTTGATTGAAATTGAAATGTACCTTTCCTGTAAGAAGGATCTTCTGTGACTGTACGATGCACAAGAGACGTCATATGTCTGGATAATTGACATCAGCGTGCTGTATGTCGTGACCGGACTTTCGTATATTCTCATGATTGTATATTCTAAGATGCCTTCTCAGTATATTCGTAATGATTTCGTACTCATCTATGCAATGCAGTACGTTGCACAACAGACGTCATATGTCTGCATTGACATGTGGAATGTGGAGCGTGTTGTATGAAATGAAGTTGAATCAGGGGCGCAGGGCCTACAGACCTTGCTACGGGCCTACTTTATTGGTTGTATGGTGGTTGTCACGATTGGTTGTGTGGTCGTGACCGAGCTTCCGAAAAACACCCGTAAAAAACTACCTCAGATCATACATGATCTAAGAAAACTACTACTAACCCAACGTTGCCAACGCTGGAAGGCTGGAAGTCGTGAACTGTTGCAATGTTGCAATTGCTTTCTTGCAAAATGAATAAAAATTAGAAAATTTGTACTGCTCAAGCCTAGATAAAATATTGAATTTTTATGATGATATAGGATAAACTAATGAATAATATATCAATATGGATTTTGCACGAAAACAACTAAAAAAGTATGGCTGGACTGAAGGTAATTTTTTTCTTTCCTGATATTGTCTATATCAACATGGAATAATATTTTGTTATGCTGGAATTAGATAATAGCATAATGGTTTTGTAGGAAAAGGATTGGGGAAGAAAGAAAACGGTATATCAACCGCCTTGAAGCCAAAACTTAAATTTGATAATGCAGGAGTAGGCCACAATGTTGGAGAACAGTTCACCAACAACTGGTGGGAAAGAGTATTCAATGATGCTGCTGGCAATATAGACGTTGAAGTAGACGATGAGGATGTAGTCAAAATGAAACTAAAATCTGAAGATTCAGTAGAAATCTCTACAAAAAATTTTTCCCTCAGTGCATTGAAAAAGAACAAACATCTTGAGTATGGCTCTTTCCTGAAGACTGCAAAGTTGACTGGTAGTAGCATGGAACATTACAGTAGTGAAAAAGTAACTGAGGTACCAAATACATTCAAGTGTCTCACTGATGAGGAACTATTTGCTGCCTGTGGTGGCAGAACTGCTCACAAAGGGGCCAGGCATGGGCTGAAACTGAGTGGCAAGCTGTCTAGGATAGAAAAACAAGAAAAAATGCTTCTCAAAAAAATGAAGAAAGTGTCATTATCTGATAGCAATTTGAATGAAAAAATTTTTGCAGAAAAACAGTTGAAAAAATTGAAGAAACAAAAAGATGATACAATTGAAAAGTATACTCCTATCACAGAAGATAGTATGGAAAGTATATGCTCCAATAGCCTGAAGAAGAAAAAGAAACGTAAAAGTGTTTCTTTCAATGAGACAGTGACTGTCACCAAAATATATACTGTAGATCTTGATACTAGCTTTGAGAGTGAAGTAGGTTCAGTTAGAGATGAAAACAGTAATGAGCCTAACTTGGAGCATGTTGCTAGTGGATCAGATGAGGGTAAGTCAATAAATTTGAGAACATCAATGTACAAGTTTCATAAATTAGCATTTTGAATGAGTTGAAATTGAGAAAATTTTGCAATTGGTTGCATTGGTATCAGATAGATACAAGAATGAGATATTAACCAGTGGATTTTGTCCTTATCTTTTGAGAGCAGAGGAAAGTGGAAAAATCCATACATTCAAACACCTTCCTTCCTTTTACTAAACTATATACCACCTAGTTCGATAACTGGAAAGTTATTGAGTTGTATTCAGTTTTCATATTCCAATAAATAATATATTAATGGCCTAATTCTAACAACTCCTATCCCACTACTAGACTGAATTTTACAGGAGAGATGAAAAACCTTCCTTGAGTCAATATGTTCAATGCATGTGTAAAAATCAAAGATTGCATTGTTTGAATATCAGAAAAAGGAGCTGTCAACTTGTTGTTTTGAAATTACCATGAACAGTGCTTCTGCAGTGTGGGTTAGGACATATTAATCCATTCTATTATTTTGAGATATGTCATCTTGGATCATCCTATTGAATGGGATTTGGTAGGATATTCCAATTCCTGGTATGAGTGAGTTGGGATACAAAATACCTGGAAATAAGATATTGCTGAATCACTTGAAATAATGTGAATCCTTCCAGAATCTGCTCATTTCCATTCATGGAAATATGTGGTAATCCTAATGTCAATAATAAATAAGTCAATTCAAATATATCCTAGGGGGATATCTCATGAATTGAATTTAATTAATTCAATAGATTTTTATGAAATAAATTAAATGCAATGTCAATTATGCATATGAAGAAATAAAAATGATGAAATTTTTAATGAAATGTCAAGGGACATTGCTGAGTGCCAAAATAATGCCTCATAATTCAATATATTGACTAGTAGTACCTAGAGTCACAACATTCAAATACCCTAACTGTTGTCATTTCTGTGTCCGAACTCTTATCAAACTAATACCATCCAGTGACTCTAGTAGTACCTACCTCCTAATTCTTGGTAATTCCTCACAATTTTTTGTAATTTCTCAATTCCTCCTAATTACTCTCAATTCCTTGCAATTTCTGTGGGTAATTCCTTACAATATCTTGAAATTCCTCATATTTTTTTGTGTTGTGTGTTGATATTCATACAATAGGGATATGTTGCTTTTATACTTGACAAATAAATTCCATTTCCTCTCCCTATCTTTCCTAGGTATGCAAGATGTTCTTGGAATATTACAGGTGCGCTCCAAGCAATAAAAAAATAAATGAATGTATGTTGTTCATATCATATCAAAGTAAATACAAGTTTTTCTATTCTAAAAGATATAATATGTAGCCCAGCATTCAGTATAGTGTGTACTGTGTATCTGTGTGTATATATACCAGGTGGTTTTTCAAGTTGGCTCACCCCTATAACTTCAAGTGACATTTTTCAGCATATATGCTTGCTTTGCCGTACTTCCGGTTTGACCGGAAATAACCCCAACTTTTGATTTTTGAATGGGACATCATGTATTTTATTCCATCATCAATAAGATTATCAACGAATTCAACGATACCGGGTTTGATATCGTTATTTTTAACGATTATGAAGATATTTTCGATAAAGGTTTTTTCCGCTACATCAAAAAATACAGGGTGTTCGGAACAAATGACCTACAGGGTACTATTTGAATTTTCTTAATGGAACACCCTATTTTTTATTGTATTCTTAGATTCTCCCTGAAGAGCTGATTTGATCAATGTATCACACTTGGGGTCTAGCGAGAATGATTACAGAGATATAGGGTGTTCAAAATCGAGATTTTTCAACTCTAGATTTTTTTGGTGACGAAACTATTCATTATCTGTCAAAATGGCTTTCATGTCCGTATCTTAATTCTTGATTCATTATCTACTGAAATTTAATTATTGGAACAGATACAGGGTGATCAGAATTCTGAATCTTGTACCACCCTGTAAATGTTCCAACTAAATGTCAGTAGATAGTAAATCTAAAGTTGAGATGGGGACATAGAAGCCGTTTTGACCAATAATGAATAGTTTCGACACAAAAAAATCTTAAAGTTGAAAGATCTCGATTTTGAACACCCTATATTTCTGTAATCATTCTCGCTAGACCCCAAGTGTGATATATCGATGAAATCAGCTCTTCAGGAAGAATAAATAAAATACAATAAAATACAGGGTGTTCCATTTAAAAAAAAACAAGTAGTACTCTGTAGATTGTTTGTTTCGAGCACCCTGTATTTTCTGATGCAACGGGGAAAAATTTTCTGAAAAATCATTTCAGATTATTTTTCAAATTTTTAAATCGGTTCAGAAATGAGTGAGCTAGAGGGGGGGACATTTATAGTGAATCACCCTGTACAATGGATGTGATGGTGTCTTCCTGTGTCACACTCATTGAGCATATGGAAACTTCGATGGATTCGTTACGATAATTCTCTACCAAAGATGATAAAATACAGGGTGTCCCATTTCAAAATCGAAATTTCGGCCATTTACTGGTCAAACCGGAGGTACGCCAAAGTAAATAGATATGTCACAAAATGTCAATACTTGAAGTATGATTCACAATGCTAAAATTTCATGTCACTACCTTCAATAGTAAAAAAGTTATATGGGTTAGCCATCTTGGAAAATCACCCGGACCTATACAAGGTGGTCAACCAAAATGAAATCCTGAATATCTCCTAAAATAATGATTTCTAGGAAAACCTCAAAAATTATATATAAGGGGACATAATTCGTCATAGTTAGTAATAGTAACATCAACCCCCACACCCCCCAGATAATGTCACTAGATTTTTCTTCAATATTTTTTCCATCTTCGTTTAGAATTCATCATCATTTTTTTTCATTATTTCTCATTATGCGTTCCACAAAACAAAGAGCTTTTACACAGGACCGGATTAACCGTAAGACACGAGAGGCAACTGCCCAGTGGCGATTTCAGAATAGGGAGCGAACATTTTTCCAATAAGTGTCATAAGCAAAAAAAACAAGATAATTCTCAGTGATCAAGGATTTTATTCCTTTGACGATTTAATTAAATGTGAGAATAATATAAAAAATAAATAAGGTTGATGTGCTTATTTCGTGTACTAGATAATTCAAATCAGAGGGCCACCATTAAGATCTCTATAGAAGATACGAAGATGGTTAAATTGGGGCAAAGTTGAGCATTTATGTGACTAATAATATGCCGTCGAGAATTTTTTTCAAATTCCCAGATTTTCGCGATTTTTTTTTCCAAATATAGAGGGGGAAACTATATTTTAGAGCTGAGCAGCGTAAATTTTTTTGAAAAACCTAAGCCTATTAGATCACATTCAGAGGACGAAAAATCCAGACTCCATAATAGCAATTTTTTTAGAAAAAACCGCGTACACCACTGGAATCGGCGTCCTCTGAAATAGATCTGCACCAAGTTTCATGAAAAAATATTCAACATTAACGAATCTACAGCGTCTCTCATTTCAAACGGCCCCCCTCTATACCGGGTGTCAACGAATCTATTAGACAAGTCATAGCTTCTAGACCATTAGGTGTATCAAAATGAGATTTGGTATAGGTGAATGGTATGTGAAGAGGAGAGTTTTCACATATTTTTCACTTCCCGGTCACTTCCGGTTTCACCGGAAATGGTTCCGGTTCTAAATTTTTAAATGGAACACCCTGTATATTGTAACATTTTTGGATTTCTGAGACAATTCTAGATCAGAATGTGACATTTTCGAAAGTTTTCAGGTCTACTTAATTTTTTCGGAGTCACTTTTGAAATTACATCTAGGTGGCCATGATCGGAAGTAAACTAATCTAAGGACCTCAGGTGATATCAGAAAATTACAATCGCGAAGTTTTAATGACAATTATGATAGATATGAATAGGACATGTTGGCAAAATTACATTTTCGTGTCTAACTATTATTTTCGAATGGCGACCATTTTTGTCAAGAACTTTCCGAAAAAACAATATTTTGACGAATCTAACGATACTAATTTACTTGCGATTGGATTACAAATAAGAAATTGGGTGAATCGAAAATTATGTGAATCGAAAATGGGCGAATTGAAAATTGGGCGAATCAAAAATTGGTTCAAACGAGACGTTCCCTCACTGAGAAGTTTCAATATTGAAATGAGAAGACAATTCGAGAAGAAATTTTCCATTACACATTTTTGTAATGTCTAGGGGGCGAAAAAATAAATTATGCCCCGGGCGCCAAGTGATCTCAATCCTGCCCTGCTTTAACCTTACAGGGTGGGCCAATTGGACACTTTTGAAGGAAAAGTCCTATACTCGAATTAAATAGAAGAAAACTGATATTCGCAGTATTTGTTAGGTTTTACTAGGTGATAGGTTTTGAAGCTGAAGGTGACAGACGAGGTTGTGGTTAGAAAGTTAGGTTAGAGTTCTTCTTTTCTTGATATTTTTGTGAACTCTAAGCATTACGCTGTTGCCAGGGTGTCAAAATAGTTTGGGTGAAAATAAATATTTTCATTAGCAATGAAACATCTTGCTAGATATATTGGGTGATTCTCCAAGGTGGCTCACCTCTATAACTCCCTTTATTATTGAAGGTAGTAAAACGATATTTGGTGGGTGTGAATTATAGTTGAATTGAAATTTCTTGGCATATCTACTTGCTTTGCTATACTTCCAGTTTGACCGGAAATGACCCAAAATTTCAAGTTTTTAATGGGACACCCTGTATATTTTATATAATAGGTCAGGGATTATCATACTAAATTCAAGAATACCGGGTTTGATAGGGATATTTCGAACTATTTGCATTTGAAGTTTCGAAAGTTCTTTCTCTGTCAAACTCATTGGGCATATGCAGTTTTCATAATTCATGGTTCACATTTCTAGTTTGAATAAATCATTTTAGGTATTGAACAAGATATAGAGAACAACAACAATGTAGAAGACAATCATAGAAGTTTTGAAGTAGGACAATTTAATATAAATGACCTCTCGAAGGCAGAACGAAAAAAACTTAGGAAAAAAAGGAAACATGAAGCAAAGAAACACGCCGCAACAGAAATTTTTCTCCAGAAGCTCGATGAAAAGGTCGAAGAAATCGAGATGATTGGCGATGCTGATGAAAAAGACATCAATGTGAAAAAGAGGAAATATTTGGAGGATAGTGATTTTAGTAATGATAAAGGATGCCATTCAAAAACCGAGTCACCAGCTAGACATAAGAGAAAGAAGAATAAGGAGATGAGATCAAAGCAGAAAAAAATAGAGGAAAAACAGATGAATTCAATTATGAGGAGTCTTGATAGTGTTTGTCGTATATCTGAAAGTGAGTGAATGTTTTGCATTAGTATATTGTTTTATGATTTTGCTAGTTAAAGAATATTATTTGGTTGGGATTGTTGAGAATTATCTTCAAGTTACAGCTAGAGTGTTTTTCTACAAAATGTGTTCAAACGAGGAATTCACACACGGGTGGCTAGCTAAAGTGAAATCCAGGTTTTGGGTGGAAAGTCTAGAATTGAATATCTTGTTAAATTGTCGAGATTAGACAGGGCCTACTCTATCTCACCGGGACGGTGCATCGCTTTCGTGACGTCACACTAGTAGGGACAAAATCGATTAATAGTTCAAAAAATATAGCATATCAAAACGAATTGACTGCATTCATAATTTTCGTTTTTTAAACAGCTGCTAGAATTTCAATATTCAATTCACAGAAATGATTCAACCATGCAAAGGCTTCCCATAGTATCTAGATTGACTGTAATTTTTTCAAAATTCCCAAGAGCCAATAACGAACCGATATTTCAATTAAAGTAAAATGGTGGTTCAGATGATTATAAACATATTAGTTGTGGATATATGCTGTCACTGACTTTTGTATCTCAGAGGATTTTACCAGCATTTATGTCTAAAGATAATCCCCACACACTTTGATGACGTTAGAAATTATTTACCTACTCGAGTAGAAGTTATTACGCAAAAACCCTGACAGCGAAATAATTATTTTCAGCTATGGAGTACATATTTTAGAAATAATCTCATATTAATAAATATAAATTGATTTGAAAACGTTTTCAAAATATGAAAATCAAAAGAACAAAAAATAAGTAGTTCTCATACTGACGTACAATACTAAACGAAAGTCATTCTGAAAATATTCAACATAATGAGAGAAAAAATAGCCAGATATTACAAAATAACATGTACCTTTAAAAAAATATAGGTATATTATCACAAACTAAAAAATGAGCTCAAAGCTTCATATTCATGCATCTGGAAAGTCTGATGATTCTTCTTTTCTTATTATTTGACTGAATTCCACTATAATTTCATATGTAATACCTAATTATTCAACACAATATTCAATAAAGTTTTCAAAATATAAAAATACCCACAACTGGAACATGAGTAATAAAACATGCATTGCCCTTTACCGCGAAATCTTTAATAGGGGGAAATTAGGTAGGTATAATACTAGACAAATTTGTACGCGCTCTTTATTTCTTATTCATTTCGGACTCATTGTAGGTAGCTCAATAATTTTCTCACTATTGAATTGATGCATTATCCTAGTTTGACATACTCAGTCAGTTTCATTTTAAACCAATTCCAAATTGGCAAAAAATAGTATTCCGTAGTACAACATCCTGATTTTCATCAAAATTGAATATCTTTACAACATCATAAATCGGTACTGGTTCATCCTACTGAATTTATTTTTATGCCGAGAGTTGATCCCTATTCGTCTCGATTGAGTGTGCTTCTGATTCTTAAAGTAAATGAGCTATACCCTTTTAATTACGAACGCACCGATATGAAATGATGTGAAATCTCAACCCACTAGTGTGACGTCAGCATCGAGGTAGAGGGGATAGACTACGACCCGGTGAGATAGAGTAGGCCCTGGATTAGATTGCTAACCTTTAGGAGTCTGAACCTCGTAGAGAAAAACGTTAGGTGAAAAAGTTCAGCATTTCATTGAATAAATATGATTCCAGTTGTTTCGCAGATCATGCATAAAAAACAATTTTTTTACTTGTGATATAAGTAAAATTGTCTTTGAAAATTAAATATTATTATGGTACCATAAAGACTGGATATCAATTGAATTCTGATCTTCTAGGAACAACATTTTAACTATGATCTGTAGACAATTCTAGTTATGCCTAGTCGAAATAATATGCACAGAAATACCTAATATTCGTGATATCAAGTATAGATGTTTATCAAGAACTAGAGTCCACTCAAAAGTATTCAGAATAAAATAAGAATATTTGACTTGACAACATTCAACTATAAGCAGCGTTTCGCTGGGTTTATTGCGGGTCGATTTTGGCTTTGACGATGCTAGGGATGAAACTTGTAATGATTTTATTAGCCAATGGTAGCTAATCACTTCGCATTTATCAATAATTACATCACAACCTTTCATCACTAGCATCGCCAAAGCCAAAACAACCCAGCAATAAATACGGTGTCGGACCAATGAAATTTCGCGAAAATCGCATCATGAGACCAGCTTCGGTTATAAACGGAAGGAATTAGTCGATCTAAATACACTTCTCCTAGAAATTAACGCACCTTCAAAAAGTAGCCATTTTCGTCATAACTACTTGTCCGATTTGGACGGTTTTTCTTTTGAATGACAGGTTATCTCCTTCTGAATTAATATATGTAGACTGTTTTCGCATGAAAACCTTTCTTTTTTTATACATACTGGGTGCAGGAATTATAGCGCGTATTTTTCATGAAATTTGTAATACCCTGTAGAGTGTATTAGTTACCATATCAAGGGTAAATTGGAATTACACTTTAACCTTATATCTTTCTTCAACATTTCTTTTTTGGATTCACTCCATCATCTTTCCTATTACTCGATAAACACCATTGTATAGTGTAACATGATTTTATGGAAAATGAATATCCAAATTTAACGATAAGGAAAAAGCGAAACAGAATGCGAAGTCACAAGTTAAACGAAAGGGTCAGTAGGGAGTACAAGAAGGACTTCTTGGCAAAGACGGCCTATACTTAAAAGAAGAGACCCTATGTCATTTTGGTCTAGGTCTACCCAAATTTGAGACAGTCTCTGCTGTGCGTTTTCCAAAGTATTCCAGTTACGTTCCTCTTGTAATCTTGTCCCTAGACTGTCCCATAGATCCTCAATGGGATTTGAATCCGGGCTCCGAGCTGGCCATGCCATGGTAGCAATACCGACTTCCTCTACATAATGTCTCACAACTCGGGCGACCTGAGACCTGGCATTATCTTGCATAAAAAAATCCTCACACTATTTCTGTTGTTCTTAAATCTCCAATATGTACCTTTCCGCTGTAAGGCTTCCATCTTCCATTTATGATCACAATTTCCGTGCGATTAGTCAAAGAAAGGTATCCCTAGACCGTTGCCTGCTACTTATGACCTTATAATGCCAATTGAATTCAATAAAATCATGTTATGCTATAAAATTATGTTTCTGGAGTAATAGGAAAGATAATGGAGGGAATCCAAAGCAGAAGAAAGATAAGACTGAAGTGTAATTTCAATTCTAACTTGATACTGTAACAGTAACACTCCACAGGGTATTTCAAATGTCATAAAAAAGCACGCTATAATTGCTACACCCGGTATTCATAACAAAGAAGTTTTCATGCGAATACAGTTTGCATGCCTGTCGTTTTGACAGGTTTTCGCATTTTTAAGGATAATTTCCATCGCGGTTGGTTTAAGCAGACTATCTACTAAAACAAACTAACCTATTAAAACTGGAATCATCTGATAATGATTAGTTGACACTAGGATCGTCTAGAGAGTATCTTGTTAAAACTGGTGTTCCCAAGAGAGATAGGGTTAGAACTGAAATCGGGTTTTTACGGTAATATAATATACTTACAGTGCTCCATGAATTTTCAAAATAGATTCGTTATTATCAAAACTACGAGGGTTTGCTAAATCATTGAATCTAATTTTTTCGGCTTTTTTTTGTAAACTTGTATTGAATTTGTCTCATACTTTTGGGGCACATAGATTATAGTTCATATTGTGGGTGAGAAGAATTTGATATACTTACCAGTTGATTGAAGGATTTCATATAATTATTGAAACAATATGTTTTTGGCATCTCATTTGAATCAGGGTTCAGTATGAAATAAATTCCAGACAAGATCATGTTCAATTGATTCATGTTATCAGTCTTTATGTGCATTCAGGTTTTACAGGGTTTACCGAGTTTTTATTTTTTAAATAATGGTTGGAAGACTGTTTTGGCACCATTGAATATCTTTTATTTTTATTAATATAAATTGAAAATTGAGTGGTTATATATGAAATGGTTAGATTACTATTTTTATACTTTAGGCTGCAATATACAAATATGTAAGTATCTTGTTTTTGAATAATAAACCATGATAAATACTGGATTTGAAATTGAATACATTCATAGCTGTGAAATTATTTACTTTTGAGTCGTTACTTAATGTAAAAAACTTCACAAACGAAAAGATTTCCACAAAATTCTAAATAACACAACATGTTTCGCTAACACAGTAGCTTCTTCAGATGAAATATAGTATTTCACTTAAAGCGTCAAAAATCAAACAAAAAACAAATTTTTCACCAAACCATTTTATTTTTGCAAAAAAATAGAATCACACTACATTGGAATGTGTTACAAAATAAATATATTTTCAAATCTTTATTCCGTCTGATAAGGTGGCACGTAGCCACCGAATGCCCTTTCTAACTCTTTGGCCACCGCGAAACACAGCCGGTCCTGATAAGGGGCTGCGACCACTTGAATGCCCAGAGGCAGCCCAGACTCGCTCAGCCCCATCGGGACTTGAGTGACCGGGAATTTCAGGACGTTCCACAAAGAGAACAAGTTGAAGTTCCAAGGTCGCAGATACGCTGCATGGTGATAGCTAGCTGGAAATGGAGCAGACGGAAACAGTAGGACTCCATTTTCACCTAGTTTTTCCTAGAAGAAGATACAGACAATTGGTTCAGCAATCCATAGTTGATATAATGATATGTGAAAATTGCCACTGCTTTGATGACCGATAAATAAAAAATGTTTTGCAACTTTTGGCAACGACGTTCCTCTACTTTTCATTATTATATCACAGAAGTTGACTTCATAATTACTTTTCTCGGAAGATTCCACCAGATTCAGGAAAAAAAACACAAAGTTAAAATTTAGGTATTGTTGCTTTATCATGTGGTCAATGAAATGCTGAGAAAGGACCCCGCACCGCATCAATGGGAAATTGGCTTTCGGTGAATTTACTCGAATTTTTGATATATTGTAGAACTCGTGGTGCTGATCAAATGTCTCCATTGCACCAACGCACTAAAATCAACAGTTACGATTATATAGGGTGATAAAGTTGACTTTTGAAGAATTTTAGATAGACATTGTGAAGACACCTTTCATAATTTCAAAACCAAATCAACTGTGCATTGATTGTTCGAATGACCGATACGAATCTACTATAAAGTATAATGATTCCTGCACGTACCAGCAATATACAGGGTTGGTCGGAACATAGCGAATAATTCAGTGATTTTCTGAAAAGTGTGCGGTGGAATTTCATTTAAATTCTGTTGTATACAAATATCATCCCCATTTCGTGATATAAGCATATCCTAATGAGATATATTATATACAAGATGTTTTATTTTTGATAAAGTCACATCCATGTTAGGTACTTATTATTGGCATCCTCAATATGACTTACAACTTGAACAACCTATGATGAATGTCCACCCTGCAAATCCGTGAAATATACGGAGTGGATGAAAAATCAATGGTCTTTGCTAATAACTTCTCAAGAGTAGTATGTGCAAATTCTTGTGACCCATTTTATTGACCCTGTTTCATAACGACATTATAATCAATAAAACTAATTTAAACCATTCGATGCAGTTATATTTTTAATAACATGTTAGCATAAATTCGAGATGTAGAAGTCCCCTTTGGTCTCGCCTTTCAATAGCGATTTCTCGCTTCATTTCATTTGGTTCTCCCTCAAGTCGTACCATATTTTGTATATTGAATGCTGAATGACACGTAAAACAATTCAATCGGCGACGATTAGCCATTTTTTAAATAATTATTACTTTGACTTTTATAAGAACTTGACAGATGCAATAGTTGCAAATGACTATGTTGAACAGATGAATATAGTTGCTATGTGCCTGCCATATTACATTATTTGAACCAGAGCAATCTTAACATGATCACGATGAACATGGAGTCCATCATGAGAAGAGATCACCGTAATTGAATGAAATCAAAGATTCATTCGGCATTTGTAAGAATTTATCATTCGTCCTCACTCAATATTCTATTATTTTATATTACCATGATTTTATGATGATATGTGTGTATGTTTCCAACTGATTTATATATTCATTTGTTAAATACTGTCTATAGGTTAATTGAGGAGGTGAAATATTCATCATTATACTGGTGAATTTTTGTTTTAGGCTCTTTGATAGTGACATCTTTGGGGCAAATTATCTGATTTGTCCTTACTACACGTATATTGAAATGATACTCATATTTTTATTTTATAGAAACGAGGTGAGAAAATCCCCAAAAATCTGGAATAATTTATATTTTTATGTTTATTGAAATTAATATAGCTGCTTCTATCTTTATTGAGTACGTTATAAACTCGGCTATAAAGTCAGGAGTACTTTTCAAATATAATAACAATGCCATCGTGTTGATTTTCATACTACCTTATAAACCAACCAGATAGTATTGTTTGTTACATTAGGTATGTATTTTAGATAGTTGGGTTCATCTTTATATGTATTTTTGTATGTATGTCTGTTTGACTCAAGAGACGCCAATGTATAATTAGCCAATTTGATGTTAGAAAAGGCTATCAGAGTCAATTTAGTATAAGCCACGATATAGAAGCAGAAAACCTACCAGGTGAAATTGGCAGGATCTCATATGAAAGATGTATATGATATCACGATGAAAATCAATTTCAATTGAAATACGAACGCTCATAGATTTTTACGAATGAATTCACTCAAGCTTCCGCAATTCCAAGAAATAACATTAAATTGTGGATCGCATTCAATGCCGGAAGACGTTGACATGATGACACCTAATGAAAAAACGAATACATGAAATTAGACATTCATAATATATTGTTTACTACTTTAATTTTGTTTTAACTGTTATGTTTACTTTACTTCAGCAGTGTTTGAGGGTTGAGGTATTCTAGAATTGAGTATGACGAGTTGTATTCAGGAGACTGTTCAAGAAGTTGAATAAATTCAACTTTTTCATTTCGTGAAACGAATTCGTTTTATGAATTAGTGATCGAGGAAATATAATCGCTTGTCATAACACGGAAGTAAAATACTATGTAAGGTACAGAACTTTTGTTGTGTTTGAATATCAGAATATTTTGTTATCCATAATAACTGTATATTCATTGTTCTTGTTTCCTATTGTTGATTGTTTCACTATCACCTGAAAAACCTATGATACCTGCATATTATCAAAAATATACTACATCGAATGGTTCAAATCATTTTCATTGAATATGATGTCGTTATGAAACAGGGTCAATATAATGGGCCAAAAGAATCTGCACATACTACTCTTGAGAAATTATTAGCAAAGACCATTGATTTTTCGTCCACTCCGTATATTTCAAGTATTTTTAGGGTGAACATTCATAATGGAATGAACGAGATAATGAGGATGCCAATAATAGTTACCTAACATGGATGTGACTTTATCAAAAATAAAACATCTTGTATATAATATGTCTGATTAGGAGATGCTAATATCACGAAATGGGGATGATATTTGTATACTACAGAATTTAAATGAGATTCCACATCACACTTTTCCGAAAATCACTGAATTATTCGCCATGTTCCGACCAACCCTGTATATTGTTGGTACGTGCAGGAATCATTATACTTCATAGTAGATTCGTATCGGTCATTCGAACAATCAATGCACAGTTGATTTGGTTTCGAAATTATGAAAGGTGTCTTCACAATTACTATCTAAAATTCTGGAAAAGTCAACTTTATCACCCTATATAATCGTAACTGTTGATTTTAGAGCGTTGGTGCAATGGAGACATTTGATCAGCACCACGAGTTCTACAATATATCAAAAATTCGAGTAAATTCACCGAAAGCCAATTTCCCATTGATGCGGTGCGGGGTCCTTTAAGAGGATATGACTAGTTTCAAATATTTTCAGGGAGAACAAATAATTGGCCTCAAAGTAAGTATATAATTTGGCAATTTTTTGACAGTGCTATTGAATCATCATTTCCCATGTCCTGTTGTCAATATTGAATAGGATATCTGTTCAAGGGTTCACCATGACACTCTTGCCTTGTTCCCTCTGATGGTCCAAAGAAAATTCAATATGATCTTGTCTAATGTAGAAGATAACAAAATCCAATGACATTATATTTTCTTTATCTCACCTCTTCGTAGAGTTAGAAGGAAATATATAAACGGAATAAGTTTTTATACACATTCAAGGTACCTACTACCGATTCTTTCAACTTTTAATGAAAACCTCGTTATCGGCATTATGGAATTGGCTAATCCTTTCTTAGTCGGGAAATAATTTGAAAGTTTTTAGGTTAAATTGAGAGATAATGAAGTAACATGAGCAAAAACATATTTTTTCTGAAACCGACAAAAAAGTCGTCCATTTTAATACCAAAATTAGCTCTTGAATTGACGTTTCTATTACTTACACAAAAATAGGTATTTTGCTAGGCCACACATTTAGTTCCTAGGAGCTAAAGTTGAACTTTAGCTCCTAGGAACTAAAAAGGATGTACTAAAGGTCATCAAGAATAAACAACATTGTTGTACGGTTGGTTATTTGGGTTTGGACGCATACCTGATTTGTTTCCGATCTCGACAGATTTGGCATTTCATACCCATACTGGAGATATAAATACACCTTATTATAATTAAGTATTTTCGTTTTGATGAAAGCCTTCGAGATTCACATACTTGCTTCATCTGTATTTCATTCGTCATTCTCGGGATTTATAACTTGTTTTTGAATAATCACGGCCTGCAATAGTTTTTTGTCTCAAACTACGATATTGTTTGCCTCCATTTGATTACCAAGGCAAACACAGTGGAGTATGGTGAGAAATAAATAATCGCTATTATTATTGTTGATATGCTCACTAACCTAACATTTTCCACGTCTTGTTCCTATACCTGGCACTGGCGCGGTATTGGCCATTAGAGCAGTTGTATTTATATTGAAACTACAATTCGAACATCCTTGAAAATTGAATAGACCTGCTGTTAATGCAGGTAGAATATTCTCACCACACGGAATATTTGTTGCATTGCATACATATGGCACGGCATTGATGGTTACTTCACATATTTATTTGAGTTGATTGTTTCGGTTGCAGAAAAATAAAGCATGTTTCATTCGGATCAAAAGTGACTTTGTTTGATTCGTAAATTTTGCTTTCGCTCGGCTTCGCTAAACGCTCCGCATCGCAAATGCAAAATTCGCGTGTCATACAAAGTGTCACTTTTGATCCTGATAAAAAAATCTACTATTTGTCCGACAAAAATTTTGGGGCATAGGTATCGTCTTCTCCACATATGGTGAAATTGTCGTATTACTCACCAACATTTCATTCCTCAGTTTTTCAGTCTCTGATCTCGCCCAATCACCTTTTGGATTTGGTAGGAGGTTATTCAAGAAATTGATTATTGTTGAAAGTGTATAGTCACCCCCTACAGTGAAATGCTTGATAGTTTCAATATACGGGTTCACCTAAAAATGGAAAATCAGTTGTCAGAGTTTTTGATACTTCATCTCAGAAAATTAATTCTATGCCAAAGGAAAAAAGACATCTTCCCAAGGCGAAGCTATATCAAGTACAGAGACGCTTCAGCATCGAGGGAAATAAGCAAGCGAGGTGAGACATGTTTTTTTTTACCTTCACTTCCATATTTTTGAGCGAATATTATTTAGTTTTATGAAAATCTAGTGACCTAGAGCACAAAATAAAATATTCAATGTTTTTTTCATGATCATAGAAGAAGGCATGGTTGCAACCAAATGAAATGAAGTCTGATTAAAATGCATGCAAACTCATGTATCCGAATAAATTTGTTTTTTTGTAATATTCAACATTTATTCATACACCTATCTTTTCAGTATTTGTCAATAATTTCGCGACAGTTGATAGAATAGTGCAAAATTCCGGGACAGTTCCAGGTTTTTCAGAGCGTGGGCTACCTTAGACCATTCAAAGAATGCGAATTCCCTATATTAACATTAAATGAAGAGGGCAATATATCTGCATCTATCAGAGGGGCCAAGATAGTTGTTACTAAGCATATCAGCATTTCACAGTTAAATAAGGCGGGATTTTCAGAATCCTAGACTTTTGATTACTTCACTTCACCAGAGAATTCTTCAATCTGAATACAATAAAGTGTGAATCAAAAAAGTATTCATTGAAAAAAATCTAATCAAATGGAAAGATTTGGAGTAAACGTCACTATTATTAACCATAAGAGTAAAATCAAGGAACCTGCTTGCATTCTTCTGAACGGACAGTTTTGCTTCCTGTTCAGTTGATACAAATAGAACATGGTATCTCGCTGATTACTAGAGTCACTGAATGGTATTAGTAGATGAGAGTTCGGACACAGCTGAACGTCTGTCCTTCTCCATTTTCTATATCACAATAATTACAATGGTTTGAGTGTATAAAAGAATAAGAAATATATTCTGCTCTTTGTCTCTTCAATTTCCCTAATAGCGCCTGATTGTCAGATACGATTTTAGAGGTTACATTCAAATATAGCCGTATATGGAAAATAGAAATAGAAATAATATGACAAAATAGACACATATGGATTTAATTATAGCTAGTTTGGTCGGTATTCGCGATAGAAAATAACACATGACGACAACAACTTGAACCCTTCTGAGCGGTTTGTTTTGATGATGTAACCAATAAGCACAAACAAAAAACAAATGTGAACCAATGAAAACAAAGTACACGGACCGCTTTGACAGCTTCCGCGTACGCTTATTTTCCATCGCGAATTGAAAACTTCATTCAATGATATAGTGAGTCCAAGGATGTCTATCATGGGATATAGTTGATGACGGTTTCTCCGAAACAAAACGTCGTACGGAAATTGTCTCAACGCTATTTTGTAGAGCTTCAAAAATTGAAACTAGAAAGTGTCTTCTGTTTTCCTCGTAACTCTTTATTTAACGGCAGAAAAAATAAAAACGATTCCCATGATAGACATCCTTATCTTGGACACAGTGATCACGTTGCCATTTACTTGATTTCCTGTTTCGTTATCAAATATTCAATTTCATTACGTAGTTTTGCAATCAATTCCTCTTTCTCCAAGATAATTTTGTTTTGCATTTTGTGTGATGATAAAATAATAGATTTTTTTAAATAAGTAGCTACCTAGTATGTTTCGTAAATGGATGAAACAGCAGATTCTCTCTAACAGATCTTGAAATCTCCTGTTCGAAAATTGGCCCAAAATATAGTTCATTCTAATCTGCTGTTATAAGAAGTGAATTTTAATGTATGTACCTCACAAATTCTGCTTGTCTTCAAATTAATTTTCCATTCAGGCCGATTCATGCATTCTTTCCATATGAGAATGGTTGATATTTCCTTTGGATAATTGAATAAATGAAATCCATTCTCTTCAGAATTCCCACAATTCATTACACAGCAGGACATTACCATCTATGCTTTCTTCCCAATAGTTTATGAATTTTCATTTCAATTCTGACGTTCATGAAATGTATTGTCAAATTCAGACAATTTTGAATGAAAAAGCGCGGGACGACTATGATGTTCTAGTCACAATGCAAGGTGTGTAACTTAATAAATCTAAACAGTTGTCATTTCTGTGTCCGAACTCTTATATCTAACTAATACCATCCAGTGACTCTCCTGCATGAAAACTACATGAAAATGGTAGATTCAAGATCATTAAATGAAAACGTCCTGTGACTCATTTGTATACTAACATCACTCATTCATATGCCAACATCAGTACGTCACTGAAAAGTGTCAAACTATAAGAGCACAACTTTCAAAGAAAAATATTTTTGCATTTTCATGTTGAGAACGGAAGCAGATTCGTTCCCGAAACGTCCAAAAATAAGTAAAAATTCGATATTTTTCAAATATATCTATACTTCTTTTTTTCAAACATTTTTCCAAACAAAATGTCACTGACATGCTATGGGATTTTTCTTTTCGGCTCTTTTAGACTCCCTGATAAAAAAATTCTTAAACGCAGTTACATTTTGGGTCAAATCACCTGATTTGTTCTTCTACTCTACAGGTATATTGAAATATTCCTCATATTTTTATTTTATAGTAAGTAAAACAATCTCTGAATTTTGAAACTTTAGCTGCAAGCGCATGCGTTGTTCATCTTCCGCCTTATTCCTTCACAATGTTGGCGTGCTTTTGTGTACCCTACCAGCAGTATCTGAGCGAAGTAAAAGCCCTGAATAATCTTAAGTTGGCAACCGTGTCTTATCAAGGAACTGTTTCATTCACTCCAATCTGAACTAATACCTCTTCTTGTCTGTCTGTGATATCTCTATAGAAATTTGCTCCTGATTCCTGCGTCATCCAGTATTTCCATAACTTTACAGTATATTTAGTACCTTCAAATTCAACACTTTCGGGGTTGTCATTAACTGTTTCTCTTAAGTGGTTGATAGCACTGAAAAAGAATTGAATATGTAAATGACCTATTGTACTTCAAGACATCAAGAATCATAAAAAAAAGTACACAGGATTATCCAAATCGAGACGTAGGTAGGTACAAAAAAAAACGTTCAACATTCACGTTCTTGTTTTCACTGAGAAAAAATAACAATATGCGAAAGTAGAATGCCATAGGTCTCATGCACAATGACCGACCCTGGAGGTAAAACATTGAAACACAACCTCACTTTTCTGTAAAACATTGACTTTTCTCATTTGTTTACAAAGGAATCAAAGGATTGAAATAGTTTTTCGCAATACATTGACATACGAATCGTGTTTTTTGAGCTATTCATTAATTCAAGCATGCCATCACATTGTGCTCTTGTATAATTCACAAAAAATGAAGCGAGATACGAAGGAATATGATTTTATAGGTAAAATTAGGGATTTTACATAGTTCTCATTATGAAATTTCGTTATTTCTCATTAGAACTCCTCCTGCCAATTATGTAATAGGAGCAATACTGATATAACGTGTATCCAACGACGACGTCCTTTGGGCTTGCTCAGCAAGTGTGCGGGGTCGGAGGGACACCATGCAATGTTTCACCTTGTAAAACAAGATGTACAGGAGTTAGTTGTAATAATACCAAATAAAGATACAGTATTCTGGCATTTTACCTAACAAGTATACTTTGTACCCAAAACCCCTATTTCAAAAGTAGCCCCTAAGGCCAACGTAACAATATAGTGAAAATGTCGACAACACGCACACGATATTTCGTCAGCATGACATACCAGTCCTGCCGTTTGATTGCATGAATCCAATCTTCTTGCGTTCTTTTAGAAACTTCAAGAGTATTTCTATTAGCTCCTATTGCAGAAGGAATTCCAATGAGAAATTACAAAATTTCAATATGAAAACTATACAGGGTGTCCCTCCGGGAACTGCATCGATCAATATATAGAAAACCATAGGTGGGCCGAATTTGAAAATCTGGGAGTTCACTATTGTTGATTAGTGCTATCCGGCTGAAATATTTTGAAGATTGTGGCACTTCCGGTTGTACCGGAAGTAGACCCCAACTTCGTTATTTTAAATGGAACACCCTGTATATATTATCGAGGTTTCAGATTTTACGCATGATTCTGAACATGTTTCATGTATAATGTCCTATACCCAAGCCTTACCGTTTTGTGCCTACCTGAAAAATCGGATTTCTTCGTCTCTCGCTGCATTTTTTGTCCATTGTACAACAGCACAATGAGATGGCATGCTTGAATTGATAAATAGCCCAAAAACACGATTCTTATGCCAAAATATTGTGAAAAACTATTTCAATCCTTTGATTCCTTTGAAAACAAAAGAAAAGTCAGGTTGTGTTTCTTCTGTTTTACAGAAAAGTGAGGTTATGTTTCAATGTTTTAACTTCAGGGTCGGTCATCTTGCATGCGACCTACAAAAAAATTCACAGGGTGATTCCTAAAAGCGTTGCAAAGTTAGGTTAGCATTGAATATCGAATACATTTCTCAGTGATGGTATTATACTGGACCGTATTTGATGGCATTATACTTTGATCCTCATATGCTGAATGAGAAATGGTATTACACATAAGTATTTGATTAATCCTGTGTAATTCGAATTTGCAAAAATTATAGGCATCATTTTCTCAACAAAAAACATTACTATACCATGAAATACAGAAAACAGCACATGGTGCAAGATACAAAAAAATAAAAGTCAACAATATACCCAAAATCGGCTATGTATTGTGTACACATTTTCAATGTTTTTATTGGATCTCATTTCTGAGGTTTACTGAGACAGAACATTTTTGAAAATGTATTATTTGAGATGATATTTCTCCATGAAACGCATTATAATCTATGATTATATGAACAGTTGTAGTATTATTGAGACCCACGCATAAGTTGATATGGAAATAAATATGGATAATTTACATAAATAAGAGGAGGATTTACCGGCATTACTGCAACAAAAACAAGTATACCTTAACTGCGTTTCATGTTCCATAATTGATTTTTTCTATGAAGAAATAAAATGTGTTGCTAAATTCAAATGTATTGTATATATTTTTAAAGCTCAATGATTTTTTTGGACAAAAACTTCAATCATTCATTTTTGGTCATTCTGCAATTTTTATGTTTTTTGCCAAAAAGTCTGTTTATTTTCAAACAAACCAAAATATGTCTATTCAGAACCATCTATTTTGTATCATGGAAATGTGGGATCGGTACTGAACCGTGGATCCTCCTCCTACGTACATATCTTCAAACTTCAAATAATCAGAATAATTTAGTTTTTCTACTGACCACAAACAACATCAAGCAACACTGAATAAGCTTTTGATTCGAGAATACCCCTCGAAAAATGGTAATACACAAAACGCTCTAGACTTGGAAACAATTTCACGACCCTCACAAATTGAGCGGTTTTTTTTTTCATACCGTGCTAATATTGTCTTCATTTCTGTTCTGAAAGGACTAACAAATAGGTCTTTTGGGTCCAAGATATATTTGATTTTAATCGTTTCGACGTCAACACTTTGATCCAATTTTAATTTTTTCGTATTCTCTGGACCCACCAAAACTTTCAAAACTGATATTAAATCATCAGCGTATTTTGTTAAGGGCCCAGTGTTCACCATTGTTTCTCCTTCATTGCCTAGTCGAAATGTTATTCCTGAAAAGCAATTTTCAAGCATTAAATATTGAATACTCATAATGATTTAGTACTCAGATAAATATCAAACAGAGAGATTAAGAAATAAAGAGAGTGAGAGATAGAAAACAATAAAGTGTCAGTATATAGGCTTTCAAATCAAAAGCATAAGGTTATTCACTCAAGTGAATCTCTGAACATATATCCTGAAAAAGTTTCTTCTCTTATACTCAGTATAATCCATATGCATTTCCTAAAATATACTTGATACAGAGTTCATGGAAGACAAATTTGAAGTATCCTACAATTTTTACAAATACGCAAATTCATAATAAACAATATTTATGTCCATACCGTGAGAAGATATTCTTCATTTCTGGCCTGAAAGGACTAACAAAAGGATCACTGACTTTATCAACATAAAAAATTTTCAAATCTCTGACATTGACAGGTTGATCGAAATTCAATTTATGAACATTTCCGGCCAATAAAACTTTGGTCACTGGAATCAAGTCATCTGTATACTTTGTCAGAACTCCAACAACTACCATTGTTGTCTCTTCTTTTCCAGTTCTGAAAGTTGTTCCTGAAAAACTTCCTGCTTTGAGCTCGTACATTTTCATCATTTCATCGTGCAACAAACATTATCAATACCAGGCACACTGCTACCAATAGCATTGATGATTGATGAGAATTTTTGTTTTCTATAAGCTTTTCAAAAATGGCTGGTACGAAATGAAGTGTGAATATTGTGAAGGGATGATATGAGTGCAAATTAGATAATACATCAGTTCTTACAAATTTCCTAAACATATATCAGAAGTCAGTCGGCAGCAGAATAAGTGAACATCAATATCCTAAACTGAAGATGAAAGGATTCCAGCAGAAAACGGTAAAATGCTGACAACCGCCATTGAAAAATGGATAAAATTGTTCCTTAATTTCACAAATCTCAGAAAACGTATACATACAATGATTCGCGCGTAAACTATGGAAACATGCATGCGGGATATCTTTGATACAATAACAACATTTTGGTTAATGTATGAATTTTATATTTTCGAGGTTGATGTCCATTATTGACCATTAATTTTGAGAAATTAGAAATAATATTTTTTACTAAAGGATCCGAAGGTAAGGTCGACCTTCACCCATTTGTTTATTGGAAGTAATTTAGCATGTTAGATATATAAAAAATAGGTTGCCTGAAAAACTCCAGGCCCGGCTATAATTAATTAAAAATTCTAAAATATTTTTTTTTTATTTCTACCGATGAGTTCAATGAAAAAAATTACACCAACTGTGAGTACAAAGCCTATAGAATATGCAAACATAGGGTTACCTATATTTTTACAGGTCTAACTATATTGGATTGCAAGGTATAAACAGGTATTTTGGTCCTAGTTATTTTCAACTACTTGTTTAATCTATAAATTAAACATCAAAATAAGCGCTGTTTCATTGCCAACACAATGATATATACATGCAGCAATAAAAAAGGTGCAATTTGAAAGAAGAAGGTTACAGTCACTGACGTTAAAGTTGCAAATTGAAAAAATTAAAATTAAAAAAATGTGTATTTTGAAAAAGGACATTTTCTACCGGCGCTAAGGTTTTGGGAGTTTTTTGTCTGTTAGCCAATATTTTTATGAGATATATTGAATAGTTTGGACATGTTTCTTTACAACAGGAAGTTTGATATCTACTCGAAAAGAAACTATATGATTGTTTCATGTATACTAGAATCAATCTTTCTAATAAAAAAGCATTTGTCCCATTTTATGAGAAGGTATGAAGGTAACAATACAAATTCCTCTTTTTTTTGCTATCATTAATGAGCTAAAACCTTTCTATACTCCCCCTTCCCTCAAACATCGCCTGGATCCGCCCCTGCGTGGGGCGAAAACCCTTCTGCAGGATCAGCAGCAGTACTGTATCAGAAGAAATCAGACAAGAAGAAGCTGAACAGAGATCCTGGGAAATTCTTCTTAGTCTCAGATAGACTAAGATACTACTGAGCACATATAACTACAAATGATCAAACGCATATTATCAGTCTAAGCAGAAACAAACTTCGTATAGGTACTAACGGGCCTTTCCGGTTGAAAGGACATCTTAGAAAGTTCAGCTTAGCAGACGAAACCACTAACCATATACTTACGGAATTGAGTCACCCTATGGAACCCAAGGGCAAGAAATCTAAGCGCACACATAATAGAGAACCCAATAGATGGAGCTACACTACCTGGAACCACCTCAGCCTGGAATTTCTTAGGGATATAGGAATAAAGAAATTGTTATAGCTACGGAGAACAACCTCATTGGGCACCAATAGCAGGAGAAGAGGGCAGACCTAATAGATTCTTTACAAGTATTTCCCCTCATGGAGGAAGAAAACATTTCCTCAAATTTGTCTAGTTGCTATGGTAACGATACAAAATACATGCTTTCAATTGATCAAAAATTTGAGGTTTGAAATTGTGAATGGAATGACATCATGAATGACCATTTCCCTTGATCGAGTTTTCTGCTCGAGTCTTTTCATCATACATGTTGGGTAGCGCCTACCGCTTTGCTCTCATAGAAAAATAAATTCCAACTTACCTTTGGTTGGAATAAGACCAGAAGTAGGTTTATGACCGAACACTCCACACATGAAAGCAGGTATTCTGACAGATCCCCCAATGTCAGTTCCTGAAAAACACGTTTTGCAATTTTTCATGTTGATTTAAAATTATTTCTTATAGATTTTGATACATGGTTTTTAGAAGCACCTACTTATTGAAAATGAAATGAGTATGATAACTTTATATTGATGGGTAGGTTATCCAACTGACTTCCTATCAAATCTAAATAATTACCCATATTGAAAATATTCATTGAAGAAGAAAAAATTGTTTACTTGGATATGGCAAACAAAAGAGACAAGCACTCTGATGCACTGATTCGTGCCTCGTGGATGCGTGAGAGTTGCCTAATAAAATGCAAAGTTGCCACATCATATACCTTCCTGGAATTCTGATGATTTCTAATGTTCCTTAATTATTTTCAGTTTCAACTAATTTCACTTAGTGTTTATTTCACGAATGTTCTACGGTGTTTTTCTTACCCACACTTATTGGTGTACCACCAGCAGCTAACAGACTGGCTTCTCCACCAGATGAACCTCCAACATTCCTTGTTGTGTTATATGGATTATTTGTGATGCCAAACAAAGGGTTATGAGTTTCTTGCCATAAATTGAGCTGTGGGATATTTGTAACGCCTAGAAACATATGCAGATGTTCAATTAATACCCTGGAGAGACATATCAGAGAAATGATCTTTTCAACTATCAATAATCACAAAAGTAAAGTCAATAACAGTATCCTGCTTCGTAGTTCTTTCTCATTCCAAATAATATGTATTTTGCAATTCATAACTTAATAGATAATGATCTGCGGTTTCCTCCCTACTCCACAAATGTTTTAATAGTTTTTGAATGAATAAAGTGTTCCTCAAAGGTAGAAACAAACAACAGTATTGGGTCTGATTTGGTATAAGAATGCGTGGATTCCGAGGATTCCCTTTTTATTTTCATCATCTATAATTAATAGTCCAAGAGCCGGCGGCTGCCACAAAATTCTCAAACACACGACATGTTTCGCTAACACAGTAGCTTCGTCAGGTGATATACTGGTACAATGAACTAAACTAACATTGGCTTGCTTATACAGGGTGTTTCGAAATTCGACCGACAACGCTTGACAGGTGATAGCCCTCGTGATTTCATAATCACTGAGATAGGGACAGACGGTCTTGAAGTGTTCAGTTCTCGAGATACAGGGCGTTGAAGTTAAGAAATTTAAATAGTTTTTTCGCAATATCTCAAGAATAATTTAATATAATGCATTCAAATTCGGTATATGGTTTCATCTTTCACTGATTAATTTCTTGACCAGAAAGACATTCCGAGAATTTTATCCAGAGATGCGCTACAGAGGGTTGTGATAACTTTTCCTCCCATATTTTCTACGCCACTGATGAAATTTCAATTATTTCCAATTTCTCGAATTGTTTGTTCAGTTATGTTGAAAAAATGCATCACCTTCAACTGAGCTATAATGAACAGTTATCGGGATATTTGACCCAAAATAGAAGTATGCATAGTAATTTTTCATCTTCCTCGGTAGTAAAAAATTACGAAAATTTTTGTTTTCTCTTCATGTGTGGAATAACTATTTCTGTTCAGCTATGGAATGAGATCTGAATAGTATCTAATCTACTCAACACCAGAAAAATATTTTTGCAATTTTCTACTACTGAAAATGATGAAATATTACTATGCAATCTTCTATTTTGGGTCGAATATCTCGAAAACTGTTTATTTCAGCTCAGTTGAAGGTGATGCATTTTCTGAACAAAATTGAACAATGAATTCGAGGAATTGGAAATAATCGAAATTCAATCAGTGGCGTAGAAAATATGGAAGGAAAAAATACCACAACCCCCTGTAGGGCACCACTGGACAAAATGTCCGGAATGGCTTCCAGGTCAAAAAATGGCCCATTCAAAGATGAAACCATATACCGAAGTTGAATGCATTATATTCAATTATTCTTGAGATATTGCGAAACAACTATTTTCATTTCTCAACTTCAACGCCCTGTATCTCGAGAACTGAACACTTGAAGACCGAATGTTCCTATCTCAATGATTATGAAATCACGAGGGCTATCACCTGTCAAACGTTGTCGGTCGAATTTCGAAACACCCTGTATAACTTACTTTCCCAACCTAAAGGGCTAGTTACCTGTGGACAGGTTCGATAAACCTCCATTTTCGGAAATATCAGGCACAATATCTACATTAAAATACGGTGTACCGGATTAACTTGAAAGGGTTATTGATATCAAAAACATATTATTACTTACTAAGAAAACAAATTCAACAGTGGTGAACTATTGAGGTCTAATTGATCGTTAAGTAAAATGTCAGAATTTTTTAGTTTGTTGATTTCTAATGATTCAAAAAAATTCAACATCGCCAGCCATATATCAGAAGAAAACCATAGTTTTGATGATTATTTCGAAATTCTACACGTAGAAAATAAAGGGATGAAAATCAACCATTTTGAAATTTGGGGCTATCGCGCGATGCCCCCTTTACTGCTTTCCTCTAGCTCAACCTTTTTGGGTCTCTTCGCGCACTGTAAACCAGAAAGCGCTAGCGTTAGCAGGAAGCTATTATATAGTTATTGGTTTCGGACTGTCAGACCGACGTCACTAGTGAAGTAACAAATCTGCTACATAGATATTATCATACGAATGAAATATTATTCCTAACAACAATCATTCATATTAGGAGCAGAACAACGAAGACTTCTACATCCCATGAAAACATGTATGACGGTTGAAGAGGATCTTGAATGGAATTGTATTTTTTCATTAATATAATCTGATTTCCAATTATGTTTCCTGCGAGCAGAATCATATAAGCTGACTATATTTTGATTGTATATATTTTTTAATCACAAAAAAAATTGAATGTCTCTCAGACCGACGTCACCACTGGAGGGTTAATATCGGCTGTCACTTTCATCGTCAAATCCTTGTTTCATCTTGTCAAGATGCGAATATTCAAAGATAAACCTCATAATCTGAGTCTTTAGTTGTGTGTTGTGTTCTCTGTTATCTGCAGGAAGTATTCAATCCAGAAAATTAATTCCATATTCTGATTGAATAAATGACAATCAGAGATATTCGGATGATTACGTGACGCGATTTCCCGCGATTTTCATGTTATGACATATCGTGAATTTCAATAATTATTTAAAAGTTACAGAGCTCTGAGGTAAAAAGGGTTTGCGACAGTGAACTAGTTAGGGTTAGTACTTAATGAAATACAATTTTTCACTGAAACATGCCCATTAGGAGGGTACTAATATTGCTGAGTGTGAACAAATGATGCCGACACAAAAAAACACGTTGTGTACTCCCGGCCTAGGATGATCGTTTCTTAAGGCGGATTCATGCAACATTCATTATAATTACATTTCCACTAGCCGCGAGGAACTCATTCATGCATCTTCTTATGGTCCTACAATGAACTAATGATTTGAGGTTATGTGATTTGCTTGGATTTTAAAAATGTTTACAGGTTATTCAAAGATATATGTTCATTTTGAATATAATATCTGAGGAGAATCACAAATAGTTTTTGTGAAAAAAATGGTCATTCAGTGATATAATCTTGCAAATCAGTCGTTTTCACTAGAACTATAATGTATAGTTGAAAGTTGGCCAACTTCTCAGTGCACTAATGTGATGAAAATGTGTTAATGTGTTGTTTGAACGCATTCTATGAAATATAATATTTCAGCATTCTTAATTTATAATGAAATGAAAATGTAATTATAATGACTGTTGCATGAATCGGCCTTTTACTCTGGTTACGATATTTGATAGTCAATACATTCCCCAATATTTTTGCATTCTACACATTGAAATGGAAATATGATTCATTACCTAAACATATTGCACCAGCATTTTTCATGAGTGCTACGTAATCTGCATCAAAGGAGGCTTTCTTTCCCTTTCTTCTAAAAATACCAAATGTAAAGGATAAACCTTTGACTGCCGACGATTCCTTTGTAGTGAAGGGTACACCTAAAATTTCAGAAATATGAGTATTTAAAGGGAGGCACTACCAGAATATGGCTTTACCCAAGAATGGCTTTTGCTGAAAATCTGAATCTGTAATTATTCCACTCTCTATTTCTTTATCAATTTGTTTCGCTTCTTGCAAGGCATCTTCGTATCGGGAGTCTACAAGTGCATTCAGAATCGGATTCACTTCTTTTATTCTATCAATATAAGCTTGAACAACTTCTTCTGATTTCAATTCTCCCTTTCTTATTTTCTGGGCTAATGATGTAGCGCTTTTATGTAGTATAGGATTGCTATTATTCTTTATTGGTGTTCTCTTCTTATCGTTGAAATATCCAAATATGTAGTCTATGAGTAGGTCGAAGTAATATCGGAGGAATAAAAAAATACTGAGTAATACTGCTTTTACTTTTTCACAATTCATTTTTTTGGTCGTTGGTTTCCTTCCACTTATTTCACTATGCTGTGGATGAAAGAAAATGAATATTAAGACTACAGGATATACCCGGTGGTTCAGAATAATATCTCGAATTTTCTGGGGCTGATAGTGATTTTGATAACAATAAAGTCGATATTTTTCATTTCATTTCATTTTCATTAGTGAATTCACTATACTATTGTCATTAACAGGTCACTATCTGTCATTTCCATGCAGATAGTTTTCCAAAAATGTCCAAAATAATGAAAATTGAACGCTTTTGTATGAATTTATTGTTATGAATATAAAGCTATAATAATGTAGGTTGACAACCTATTTGAACTATTTTGACAATGGAACAATTCTGTTGACATAATTACTCATTTTCGGGGCAACCACATAAATAGCAAAAAATTACTAAACTCTTTCCAAGTGAAATATGTGGTCAATTGTATTATTTGAAATAGGTACAGATAACCTTTGTAATATCTTATATGTATGAACAGATATACACAAATGTTCTTATTGAAAACAATAATAAAGAAAGGATATACCTCTGGAGCAGGAATATGTCATGACAATATACAGGGTGTCCCGAAATTACATAGAAAGATTTCAACCACAGATTCTATGAAAAAAAAAAGTAAAAAAGTTCATATAAACATGGGTCCAAAAATGCCCCAGTGGGGAGTTATTTAAATTTGTTCTAAAATTTGTTCTATCCGTCATTCGGTTGCCCCCTTACGAGCAACCCTCAAAAGTCTTCGAAAGTCTTGTGCGAGCAAGGAATGACGGGGGCCTTACCTTTTAACGTGTGATCCCAAACACTTTCTTGGGCCATCAGAAAAATTTCTGCAGTCGACGGGGATCGAACCCACGACCGGCAAGCGAATGCGAATTAGAATATAGACACTCTGTCCGCACGGCTACCTGGCCACTGTTATAGCCATCCGAAGGGGAGCCCGAGTTGATGGCTCTTTATGTGAATATTTTTGAAACCCTCAGTGATAAAATTACCAAATTCTGTAAATGTTCCTTTCATGCCCGATTTGTAAATGTTAGGAACTTTCCGAAATTTTGATGAGAGAGTGGAAAAAGTTGGGACTAGGGACAGTTTTTCTCCCAACTTTCCTGTTCATGCGATTTTTGGCAATTTGAACAGGATAATATATACAAAAATATCAAAATTTTTACTCAAAAATGGTTCTCTTGTTTACTTTCAATAGTCGTCACCATTTCCGAGATAAATCGATTTTAAAAGTATAAAGTATTGAAAATACTACTTTTTCCTAGGGGCGAACAACTCCCATAAAAGTGTACATACATCATATTTAAATTATTTTGTATTCGTGAGTAATGGAGGTATTCAAAAGTTATTTGAGAATACTTAAAATAATTAATGAGTATTGAAAAATATTTAATATATTTAAGAAAAATAAAATATCTCCTTACAACAGGTGTTTTCATCAATAAGGACGCCTATATAGCGGTAGTAGAATGAAAATAGTTATAATATCACCTGTTCTTTTGACCCAATCTTCACCCCAAAATTTGAAGAGCAAATTGGAAATCTTTCATTTTCATTTGAAAAAAAAAAAATACATATTTCTATGAATTTTTTTGTCAAGGTATATCGTAGATTGAAATCATGCTGTCTCCTGATTTTGTCGCATTATTTTGACCACATTTTCACCCCAAAAATCGAAATGAAATTGGAATGGAAAAAATATCTTGCTATTGATTTTTTGTTAAAAATACATAAGGTATATCATTGATTGAGCTCGCTGTCCCCTGTTTTTGGCGCATTATCTGTGATAAAAATAAATAACGAAAATGAATTATTAAGTAGTTGTTTTCTGTTGAATATTCAGAATGATATTACTTATATGCATATCTTTATATGAAGGAGAATGCAAATTCTCTACTTTACGAGAAAGAATTGATATTTTCATCACATGAAGCATGCGAATTCTCAAACAGGGTTTTTCAAAAAAACCTGACCGCCTTACTAGGGTAGCTAGAACACTGCAAAATAAGTTGGGTTTACCCAGTGAAAAAATTTCGTAACGGCATCCGTTATCAAGATACAAGGTGTTGAACAAATTATTTTTTTACACATTTTTCAAGATTATGTCGAAACTACTGGCAACATTGAAATCTGACACATCGCATGTATTTGTTTTTATATCTGACTCTCATAGAGGGCGCTAGTTACACGGTTCGTACCGAGTAGTTTTGAACATAACTTTTTTGAGGTTAGATTTTCCAATCCAAATTTTATGTGAACTTGAACATCATTCAATTTCGCACCAAAAAGGTGCTCTTGGTGAAACTTGATACTGTGTTCCGTTTTTGGAATATTTCGATATGAAAATGATGAAGTGATAACTGTTGCAGCTATAAAGCTATGTATTAGAGTGAGTATAATGAAAAATTACCACCTATTTATTGAAAATCGAAAACAACAATACATTTCTGATGCTGAACTTATTGATTTGACAATGAATCACAAGAATAACATCGAAACAGATTTGACTGAGAACATGGATTACACAGTTTTGTTGTATCTTGAGCGGAAATTCTATGCTACATAGGTAAATTCACGTCAAGAGTTGTAAGACATAATTGAACATCACATAAATGACCTAACAGCTGATCCTCAACTGTTTAGAAGGATAATACATTCTCAAGAAAAGAATATAGAATCATGGGCTCCGTGGCCGAGTTTGTCTATGCGCTGAAATTCGCTAGATAGCCGTTCACGATGCAGAGGTACTGTCGATTCGAATCCGGCTATCGGCTGAGCATTTTTCTTTAAAATGTGTGATTCATGGTTGTAATCCTGGCAGCACCTCGATGCCCTAGAAGTGGTTCGGATTCCACTAAGCTGTAGGTCCCGCTCTTCCTAACCCCGCACAAGTTTCGACTTCTGGGGAGTTGGTTCCCAACTTTGAAGTAGCAATATACAAATTTTACAAAAAAAAAAATGTATTCATCGAAACGTACATTTTGAACACTTACTCTAACTGATTCAATATTTCATTTTTTTTTTCACTGAGCAAACCCAACTTATTTTGCAGGGTTCTACCTACCCTAGCTAGGGGGTCAGGTATTTAAAACACCCTGTATATATCCATTTTTTTGTGTTCATAAATATATCTGAGAATATTCCTTTTCGATGAATTATTAAATCAAATTTTATGATTTTTTCATAGTTTTATACTTCTTATCTCTATACGCTTAATTGCCCTTGTTAAGGTGAATGGATAAATTTACCAGAAAGCCTCGCGGGAGCTTCAGCGGAAAATTTAAGTATTATGGAACACTTGAATCTTCCCGTGGGGCCAGATATATCGATCAAAGTCGAGAATTTTAGGGGTCGGAGATTATGATTCTTTCGTCAAAATTCGCATTTCTTCACTCTCGTGATCACAAGCCGTCGAGAAGTCAACGAACTGACCAATTGCAAAATATTTCAACGTGCATTATTGATATATTTCGAGTATTTAAAATAATTAAAAACGATTTAAAATAATTAGGAAGGATTTAATAGTAGATTGTTTTATTAGGATCAAAAGTGACACTTTGTTTGACAAGCGAATTTTGCATTTGCGAGGCGGAGCGTTTAGCGAAGCCGAGCGAAAGCAAAATTTGCGAGTCGAACAAAGTCACTTTTGTTCCGAATGAAACATGCTATTTTTTCTGAAACCGAAACAATTAACTTAAATAAACATGTGAAGTAACCACCAATGCCGTGCCATAAGTATGCAATGCAACAAATATTGACACATAATCCATGTGGTGAGAATATTCTACCTGCATTAACAGCAGGTTAGGTTTTCTAGGATGTTCGAATTGTAGTTTCAATATAAATACAACCACAGAGTGACATATTTGTGTATGGACCAGGTGCTCTAATGGCAAATACCAGCTATAGGCACAAGACGTGGAAAATGTTAGGTTAGTGAGCATATCAACGATGATAATGATAATAGTGATTATTTATTCCTCTCCATACTGGCATATACTACACTGTGTTTGACTTGATAATCAAATGAAGCTAAACAATATCGTTGTATGAGACAAAAACACTATTGCTTGCCGTGATTATTCAAAAACAAGCTATCTATCCCGAGAATAACGAATGAAATAAAGATCAAGCAAGTATTTGAATCTTGAAGGCTTCCCTGATCGAAACAAAAATACTTAACTGAGATGTTTATAATTCCAATACTAAACTATAATAAGGTGTATTTATATCTCCATGCAGCATGGGTATGAAATGCCAAATCTGCTTGAAATCGGAAACAAATCAGGTATGCGTCTGCTCAACCCAATAAATAACCAAAACCGTCACAATGTTGTTCATCCTTATGACGTCCAGTAGATCCTTTTTAGCTCCTAGGAACTAAAATTCAACTTTAGCTCCTAGGAACTAAATATTGTTACGTTATTCGGGTGCAGAAGCGAACACGACACTATTTATTTTCCAACTGATTTATTTAAACTAAAGAAACACTAATTTATATCGAACTTATAACTACTATTTATGTAAAACAATTTATAACACGCGGTATATAACTGTCTCTCTGACACTCGCTGTTTGACTATTGACGGCAGTTATTCGGCCGTTTATATATGAGATAACTAGACAGGCTTTGGTTCGAGAACCTTCTCGAATGATTTTCCGTCTCCTTCTTTTTGTTCTAGAAGCTTCTTAGAACAAACCTCTCTCTCTAATTGTTTCATCGATTGTTTCCAGAACATTCCAGAATCTTCTGTGACGTTATCTGTCACCGCGGCATATATTGAGTGTTCGGAAATATGCTAGTGCATGTCATGTAGGAATCATTGGGAGGTAGGAGAGCAATCTGGGATGCGTGATACAGGATGATCGTTGTACTCCTGCCTTCCTGCTGATGTTTCTAAAGCCCCTCCAAGGGGAATATCATTACACTGCCCCCTCCTTAAAACGCATTCCTCCTGGAATGCATTCTGATCACTATGAAGATAGGGACAACTGTTTTCATTTTTACAACGTGCAG